TGTGTGTGTGTGTGTGTGTGTGTGTGTAGGCAAAACATTCATACATATAAAATAAGTAAATCTTTTTTTAAAGGATAATACTAAAAACAAACAAACAAAACCAGCACTTAGAACCTAGTCACAGGTGCCGGCACCGGCCTGTAATGAGACAGGGAAGGGGGGACCAGGAGTTCAAGGTCATCCCCAGTTACACAGCAAATTTGAGGCTGGCTCGAACTTTAAGAATCTGTCTCAAAAAAACCCTAAAAAACCAAAAAACAAGCTGGGGGTGGGGGAGCGGCAGCAGCGGACGCCTTTAATCCCATCCTGGGAGGCAGACGCAGGTGGATCTCTATGAATTTGAGGCCAGTCTGGTCTATAGAGCGAGTTCTAGGACAGCCAGGGCTGTACAACGAAACCAAACCAACAAGCAAACAAAAAACCCGGAAAACAAAAAGAACATATCTCATAAAAAGTAAAGATGGAAATTACTCCACTGGAAGGAGGTGGTACACGCCTTTAGTCCAAGCACTCCCATTACTCCAGAGACAGAGGCAGATGGATCTCTGTGAGTTCAAAACCAGCCTGCTTTGTAGTTCCAGGACAGTCAGGGCTACATAGAAACGAGAGAGAGAGAGAGAGAGAGAGAGAGAGACAGAGAGAGAGAGAGAGAGAGAGAGAGAGAGAGAGAGAGAGACAGAGAGACAGAGAGACAGAGACACACAGAGAGAGACAGAGACAAAGAGAGAGAGACAGAGAGAGAGACAAAGAGAGAGAGACAGAGAGACAGAGAGAGAGAACTCATATAATTGTCATTCTCTCTGGTAATGAAAGGTGACATGGCTCAGCTCACAGTCCCATAGCTCCTAAACCATAAAATTATTTCACTGTTACCTCATCCCTGTAATTTTGCCACTGTTATGAGTCATAATGTAAATATCTGTGTTTTCCGGTGGTCTTCTGGGGGTCTCAGACCCACTGGCCTGGATCTGCTCTCAGTCTGGAGGCCCCCACGCGTACCGGCAGCACTCCAGCTCTGCAGCCTTTTCCCTTAGGTTCTCTTAGGTCAGACCCGATGCTAACTCAAGTCCTTTCCACCACTACCATTTATTCTGCCAAGCAGCCCTCTCATGGGTTTATTTCAGGGCAGCAGTGAACAGAATGGCTGGGCTCATACACCTACAGGCTTCAGGCTGAAGTAGAGCCGTCTGCTTTAAGAGAAGGCAAAAGAAAATGCTCAACAACTTCAGAGCCAGAAGGACAGGGACTGAGGAGAGTGTCCTCATGGCTCCTAAGGAGACCATCTCTAGGAGCCCAACAGCCCTTCAGAGTAGACCTTGAATCCACCCCCATGCGAAGATAAACTGGAAATAACTTCTAATAAAAACAGATCAGAATCACAGCACGCTAAACCTAGACTCCTCAGTGTAAGCAACTCATCTTTTCTGGGCTGAGGTCTCCATGAAACCTAACAAAAGCTTTCTTTTTCTTTCTTCAAACCAACAACAAAAAACAAAAACAAGACCAGGGTCTCATTATATAGCCCTGGCTAGCCTGGAGGGCCCTCTGTAGACCAGACTGGTGTCCGACTCACAGAGATCCACCTGCCTCTGCCTCCCAAAGTGTTGAGATTAAAGGTGTGTGCCACAACACCAAGTAAAATCTTTTTGTCTTAGAAAAAAAAAATACTTCGTGTACTCTCACAGATAAGTACATATAATTTTATTTGCAATTATAAGGGGTTTACAAGGCTCCTAAAATTTCTTTCTATAAGTATCTCTGAAATGGATTGATCCTGCTCAAGGCTTGTCCTCCTAAGGGACTCCAACTATCCTGAGGTCTGGGTTGGATTTTCTAGGGAGCTGTACTCAGAAAACAAATTATCTACTGCAACTCAGCAGAATTATCCTACACAGAAAAGACTGACAGTCCTCCCTCCCTCTCCTTTACATCAGCTTGGACTGAGGGAATCAAACAGAGAAGATCTGTAATTGAATCCCTTAATTCCAGAGTATGTGAAATTAAGGAGGCCTCTAAGAGTATCCCATGCCCCTTTCCACCCAGCACCAACAAAGCCTTCTAGAACATTAGAAGAGCTAAAATAACAAGGCAAAGATCTTGTTCCCATGGGACTGTGCTCCGATGGTGTCAAAAACAGAAGAACCAGGCTAGACTGCCATTGGCCTTAGTAGATGCTTTTCCTTAACATGCACTTAAAAAACTGTAGGTTACCAGAGAAAACACAGAAGTCTAGCCATAACTAAAGAAATCAAAACAATAAATATCATCTTCTGCCTGAAGACTAGCAATTTGTTGGTACAGGTCTGGAGAAATACACAGCCACTAACAGTTGGTAGATTTGTAAGTCACTGTAGCCTTGGTGGTGAGGGTACAATCTGTTTTTTTGTTTTGTTTTTTTTTTAAATCAAAAACACCTTCCTTCAGCATGGTGACACACATCTATAATCACACCTTCCCTTGGCATGGTGACACACATTTATAATCACTCGGAGGTAGAGACGAGAAGATCAAAGTTCAAAGCTCAAGGAGGCAAAATGGTCGCTGGGCAAAAACTCTTGCAAAGCAAGCTTGAAGGCCCGAGTTCAGTCCCTAGACCCCAAGGCAGAAAGCAGGACTGACTCTTGAAAGCTGTCCTTGGCCTCCGTGCACACGTCACGGCATACAACAACAACAGCAGGAGTAACAGTAAAACTGACATCTTGCTTTAAGTTTGTTGGCAGCCCGGGCTAGCAGTAAGGAAGCTCCTGATACAGAAAAGGGACGGGGAAGTAAGACGGAGGGGAGAGAACAGGAAGTAACGGTGCACGCCGGAAGTCAGGCAAAGAGGATCAGGAGTTCAAGTTCGGTCGGGGTACACAGCGATGGGCCACGTGAAATACAGGCTCAAAAAACAAACGAGGGAGGGAGGGAGGGACTTAAAATACCACACCCTACCTCCAGGTGGTTCAGTGGGTAGGGCATGCCACCAAGCCTGATGGCCTGAGTTCGAACCCCTGGACCCACACAGTGAAGAAAATCAACTTCTGCGCTCTGTCCTGACCCCCACATGCTTACTCTAGCACCCACCCCCCACCTTCACCCGCGTACACATACAAATAATATACAATATACAAAAAAGGAATTTTTAAAGTAAAACACACTCTTTGGGGCACCAGTTCCTCACAGGTGTTTTGCAAAGTAGGTCAAAATAGATAGGCAACCAGGTTCAACACAGCATTATCAGAAACAAGTTTTAGCCTTTGAGTACATACTACTAATGGAATATGTAGCCCTTGAAGAATGTGCTAGATCTGTGGTGCTCATATGAATAAATCTCTATTATATACACATACCTAAAAAAATAGAAATTAAGCTGGATGTGGTGGCCCACACCTTTAACCCCAATCCCTGGGAAGTAGAGGCAGGTGGCCCTCTGTGAGTTCCAAGCCAGACTGGTCTACATAGTGAGTTCCCAGACACAGTGAGTTCCCAGACATTCAAAGCCTAATCAATAAATAGAAAAAAAATAAAATAAAAAATAAAAATAAATAAATAAATGCTGAGGGCCAGCGAGATGACTAAGAGATCTAAGGCACTTACTGATAGACAAGCCTGATGACCTGAGATTGATCCCTGAGACCATGTGGTAGAGGAAGAATGTTCTTTCTCCCACAAGTTGTCCTTTGACCTCCACACATGTACTGTGGAACATGAATGTGTATGTATGTGTGCACTCATGCACACACATATACAATAAATAAACGGAGGGAAAGCTGAGAGCATGGGTATTATTACATTTCCTTCATTCATAGGATGTACACTTGTGGTGTCTGCATTAAATTATATCTAAGAAGACAGACACATTAAGAAACTGTACACTCTAGCTACCTTTAGAGTGACTACAGACTAAGAAGAATGAACTGATGTACTCGAACGGATTTTTCCTTCTTTCTCTCTACACTTTTCTACATAAAAGCTCTACATCCAATAGATGGTACTGTACAAATAAAACAATCAGGGGCCGGGCCCCTCCTACAGGCTCTCTTCTCCCACCCCCATCTGTTCCTCTGCACATCACCCTTCCATGTAGACCTGGAATTGCTCCCAAATATCCTTCCACCTTCTCCCTACTACTTAGCAAACATGATGTTATATGTCTTAGAAAATTTAAAAGAAACCATATTTAGTGAGGAGCCAAGGAGAGGGGGAAAGAGGGCCTATCCAGTGCACAGCAGGAAGGAAACTGGCTGGGGAGCCTGGGGGAGGATCAGCATTAAGAAGGTGGCTAACACTCCCCTCAAGACACTGCTGTGATATCATAAATTACCCAAGCTTTCTACTGGAGATGACCCCAGGGCTCCACCCCAATTGCCAGCCATTCATTGCAATTCTAAGTGGAGCAGAAAGCAGGCTGGGAGCAGACTGGCAGAGGTCATCCACATTCTGCCTCTTGTAGCAGAGTTCACAGTTCTACTAAAGCCTACTGAGGGAGACCCGGTGGCCTTAAGTTAAGAAAGCCTAGCTCGGCAGCAAGGAACTTGGAAACCCCAGTCCCACCCAGAAGAGCTCCTATGCAAGTACAGAGAAACTAAGGGAGGTTTTAACCTCTCCATAGGACTGCCCAGAAACTACCCTGTCTAGAGTCCAGACTACAACTTCTGATTCTACAGGAAGGAGAGTGAATCTCTCACCTGTCTGCTGGCTTTTAAAAAGCAGGACATGTTAAGAGATGCCCAATTTGATGGTGGTGACACACGCCTTTAATCTCAGAACTCAGGAGGCAGAGGCAACCAGATCTCTGTAAGTTCAAGGCCAACCTCGTCTACAAAGAGAGTTCCAGGACAGCCAGGGCTACACAGAGAAAACCTGTCTTGAAAAACAAAGAAACAAAACAAGACAGAAAGAAGAGATGCCCAATTGAGCTTAGCTGCTACACAAGTTCTTGCAGCACTTGCTGGCTGAATCTACTCCCTGAGAAATGAAGAAGGCAAAATCTGAAGTTCTTCCTGTCTGGGTCTTACCTCTGAGGTTTTCTAATGTCCCATAGTCCCACTCCTTCCTTTGAATTGGCTGTGGCCAATAACCTGGGCTCCACGGGGTTAAACATGACACTGTGAAAGGCTGATGGATAGTTTGCCAGGCAGAAGGGCTCTGTGAAAACAGAAAGGAGACACCGCTTATTAGGGGTAGACAGCTGAGCAGCAGTGTGAATGCAAGATGCTGCCACTCTGTGTAGTGAACACCCCACAAGCACCCTACCATCATGTCTCCCTGAGCCCTCCAATACTAATTAAATGTATACAGCCAAACTTGAAGTATAACACTCAGATCCTAGTGTTTCAAAGGGAAAAGTGAGCTGTTTACAGAAAAATGAATTCCACTAAAAAAATTTCACAACTCCTGGTAAAGTTTTTATTATACCTTTAAAACGTTTTGTAAACAAATAGATTTAATGAAGACAAAGTGAAAGAGTGAAAAATTAAGACAAACCCAAGCAACAGTGCAGTTCCCTTCTGGTTCATGATGCTCCCTCAGTGGGCAGAACTGCGCTTGACTTCCAGAATCAAACAAACAAACCAGCCGGGCAGTGGTAGCACATACCTTTAATCCCAGCACTCGGGAGGCAGAGGCAGGCGAATATGAGTTCGAGGCCAGGCTGGACTACCAAGTGAGTTCCAGGAAAGGCGCAAAACTACACAGAGAAACCCTGTCTCGAAAAAACAAAAACAACAAAACAAAAACAAAAAAACCCACAAAAAAAAACCAAAGTCTGTGCCAGGTGGTGGCGGCAGTGCACACCTTTAATCCCAGTACTTGGGAGGCAGAGGTGGATCTCTGTGAGTTCCTGGTCTACAAAGTGAGTTCTAGGACAGGTAGAGATGTTACACAGAAAAACCCTGTATCAAGAAAAAAAAACAAAAAAAAAACAAAAAAACAAAAAAAAAAACCTGGTACCCCTTTTCTGCAATTGAGGGAGAAGGATTGTGAGTTCAAAGCCAGCTTACATAGCAAGACCCAGATTATGTTTTTGTTTTAAAGTTTAACATTTGAGCTGCCGCTGAATCCAGTCAGTTCCTAATCAACTTGACCTGGACTCCTGCACCCTTTACATAAATTATCAGCTCCTGGTGATGGAAGAATACTCCCAAGCTCCTCTGGGATCTTTTACAATCAAAGACAAAGATCACCTCTTCAGCTATGATTTCCAAATACATTGTGCTTAGGGCCCTGGGCAGGGGAAGCACTCAGTCACCTGATATATCGGCAATGCAGAAAAGGGAATAGTGTACACACAAGCATCCAGAAATGCAGCAACGGATACTGTCTGTTGTGACCAGCTCTGCTGACCCCGAGGACAGGCTTCTTTGCTATCCTGAACCTGTAAAGGTCTGACATATGAACAAATACAGACCTAGGTTCTTCCAGACAAAGAAGGCAGGACAGTAACTGTGGGATCACAGGTTCCTAGTTTGACCATTACAGAATCAAACTAAGGACGGAGGCGGGCATGGTGGCAGGATCAGAAGAAACAGGAAGAGAGAAACCCCTCTGCAGGAAATAAGCTAAGAAGATACATTTCCTGAAGAACCTCAGGCAATAATCAAGTCCTTCAGTCAGACTGTAGAGCACTGTGGAGGAGGAGTTCACTGACTATTCAGAGACAGAATGTGCTTGCCACCACTTACCCACATGGAGTCTGGGGAGGGTCTGTGTGGCTTTTAAACAAGAAGTACACAGTATCCCTCTTCTCCGTAAACAACCCACAATGTGTGAACAAGCACCAAGAGGAGTTTTGGTAGCTACCCTCCACAATGAAGCAACACATCTTCTGCTTCTAGGGCCACTGAGTGCCAAGGAGCAGGGTTTGTACAGTCCCAGGCAGCTGTGGAATGTTTGCTAAATGTGTTCTACTTCCGACGACTCCGGGCAGGATGGGACCTCCACTGTCATATCTGTGCTACATGTCCGAGTCCTAGATTTCTGTCCCCTGGATGTAACCCCACGCAGATTATAAAGCAAACACACAAGGAGCTTGCTATCAGACTGCTCAGCACAACCCAACAACTCTGTACACAGTGACCTACCTCCATGCGGAGACTCCCGGATGTCCCAAATGAGAACCCGGCCATCATCTGAAGAGCTGGCAAAAATGTTGTCATTCACTGGGCTCACTGACAAGCCATACACTGCATCTTCATGAGCAAACACATCCAGGGTCTCACTGCTGAGAAACAGGAGAGAGAAGCACATTGTTGCAAACACACACACAGACGTGGTGCAGAGCTCCAGCCCTATGGTACTAGCTCAGTTTCTTTCATTCCCAGGACAAAGTTAACCTAGGTAAGCCAACAAGATACTGAATTAGCTAAAAGGTAATGTTCAATGTTCAAATGAAAAAATAAGTATATAATGTATGTGCATAAAATATGTATGTATACATTTAAAGGGATCATCTTTATAATTTTCATACTAAGCATATTTAATGTTTCTATTTATCACAAATTCACCTACTTGTATGGAGAGTTGAGAGTGGTACAAGAATTCCAAAAAAAAGGGGGCGGTTTAAAAGCAGCCAGACCTGGAAACAGCAGACTAGCATGGTGATTAACAGCACAGCTCTGAGCTAGACAGAACCCAGTGCCAAGTCCTAGCATCACCTGCCCTTACGGCACCAACAACTCTGTGCCTCTGTTCCCTCACGTCATGAATGTCACAGCAGGACCTCACAAAACCAAAGTGACTGTTAAACTGATGAATGCATTAAATCCCTAGAACAGTGTCTGGCACAGGACAGTAAAAACTCAATCAATATTAGTCATTATTAACTACTAATTTTTGTTATGTATAAATAATATCAAATAAGTATAATAAAGAGGAAAAATCCTTCCCTCTTATCTCTGTAATTGTATGCCAACTTTGTAAATCTCTTTCTTTTTTTAAATAAAAAATTCCCTCAAACTATTATAGCAATCATTTTCTTTTTTTCAGAAAACTAATATTGGTTCTATATTATTTTCTTCAAGGTCTAAAATTCACATCTAAGGAGATATTTGCCTCTGTTCATCTAAAAAATGGTCAGTTGTCATCATACACCAATAATCTATTTACCTTTCAACATCATGGAGGATAACTTGCTCATCATTCCCTACAAAGGAAAAAGACAGACATTTCATAATTCCTGCAAGATGGTCCCTTCCACATGACAATATGGGATTTTACAGTTTTAGGAAAAAGTTCCTATATTGGAACATAGGTGGAAGCTCTCGTCTTGAAAGCCTGTTTCCTAAATTCCATCCCCAGGACCCATGGCAGAAGGAGAGAAACTAATCCTGAAAGTCGTCCTACACATGTGCCAGGGCATGTGCATTGTGGTTGACACATGTGTATGTACACACACACACACACACACACACAAAATATCAACGCTCTCAAAATACAACATAATACAAAATACAAAATAGGAGTGTTTGTTAGAAAATATATGAAGACCATTTAAGAAGCCAGGCATAGTACTACCTGCTTGTAATCCCAACACGTGGGGGAGGTGGAGGCAGGAGGGTGAGGAGGCTCAGAGCCAGCCTAGGATACATGAGAACCTGCCTCAAAAAGCCACATGCTGCCGGGCGGTGGTGGCGTACGCCTTTAATCCCAGCACTCGGGAGGCAGAGCCAGGCGGATCTCTGTGAATTCGAGGCCAGTCTGGGCTACCAAGTGATGTTCCAGGAGAGGCGCAAAGCTACACAGAGAAACCCTGTCTCGAAAAACCAAAAAAAAAAAAAAAAAAAAAAGCCACATGTTTTCTCTAAAACAAACAAACAAACAAACAAACAAAAAAACCATTAAGGACAGAGCAGTCTTCTAAGTTTTTGTTTTGTTTTGTTTAAAAAGCAAGTATGTCCTGGTAACAGTTCTTAGAATGCATTATTCGGATCAGATGCAAATAAACTGTTAGCCACTCAGGAAAAGAGTGAATAATCAAACGGTTCACTCATCCACACTAACCCACCTCACCCCCAGGTCAAAGCAACCATCAACGGCTACAACTTGGAATACAATCAATCTCTTAACAATTCTAGGCTTCGGCTGTCTATGTGAACATAGGAATAATAACCATCTACTTTATGGGGCTGTTACAAGGATATGAGCCTATAAAAGCACTCAGAATCGGGCTGAGCACTTGATAGGTTCCCAATAAATGTTTGTTTTATTTAATCCTTCATAGCATTAAAATCTGATGAGTGTGATCCTAAATGAGGGTAAAGCTTTCTTCCACAACTTTCTCATATTCATATTCTAAGAATCTAAAACACGGTATTCATGATAGGCCTTCAAATGGCTTATAAAGCCAAAAAAATTAAAGCATGCATGTGTAAGACAAAAGACATATCCCACTCTCAAATGCATAGCCTAAAGCCATCTAAATAGAAGGCAAAAACAGCAGTAAGGATGTGATCTAAGTCATCTCAACTTTCAAAGTCCTAACTATAAATTCTCCAGTGGGTACACACTAATGACATAAGGGAACTCACACTAATACTTTCCAAGGGTCCAACACAGTGGGGCACTGGGGACATGAGAATAAGATTCTGTCCAGTCTATGTTGGAGAGGATGCGGGGCAAAGGGAACAACACTCCTTCACTGTTGGTGGGAATGCAAACGTGTACAACCACTGTGGAAATCAGTATGGCGGTTTCTCAGAAAATTGGGAATCCATCTACCTCAAGACCCAGCTATAGGGCTGGAGAGATGGCTCAGAGGCTAAGAGCACTGACTGCTCTTCCAGAGGTCCTGAGTTCAATTCCCAGCAACCACATGGTGGCTCACAACCATCTGTAATGGGATCTGGTGCCCTCTTCTGGCCTGTAGTCATACATGCTGTATACATAATAAATAAATCTTTAAAAAAAAAAAAAAAAAAAAAAAAAAGACCCAGCTATACCACTCTTGGGCATATACCCAAGGAATGCTCAATCATACCACAAAGACACATGCTCAACTATGTTCATAGCAGCACTATTTGTAAAAGCCAGAACCTGGAAACAACCTAGATGCCCATCAACTGAATTAACAATGGATTAAGAAAATGTGGTACATATACACAATGGAGTATTACTCAGCAGAGAAAAACAATGACAGCATGAAATTTGCAGGCAAATGGATGGAACTAGAAAAAATCATCCTGAGTGAGGTAACCCAAACCCAGAAGGACAAACATGGTATGTACTCACTCATAAGTAGATACTAGATATAAAGCAAAGAACAATCAGACTGCAACCCACAGAACCAGGGAGGCTATATAGCAGGGGGGACCCTAGATGACTGTGGCTTACAACAAGTTTTGGTTTTACTCAATCACTGGGCAAGCATCAATGAAACATTTCACTATTAGGATAAGAATTTGTACTGTATCCAGCTGATAATAGACACATAAACAAACAAACAAACAAATGTGTAATCCAAGAAAAAAAAAAGATTCTGTCCAGTCCTTTAAGAAGTGAGAGCCCAAGACGGGTGGTGGTGGCACACGCCTTTAATCCCAGCACTCGGGAGGCAAAGGCAGGTGGATCTCTGTGAGTTCGAGGCCAGCCTGGTCTACAAAGCAAGTTCCAGAAAAGGCGCAAAACTACACAAAGAAACTCTGTCTCAAAAAAAAAAAAAAGTAAGAGTCCGACCGGGTGGTGATGGCAAATGCCTTTAATCCCAGCACTTGGGAGGCAGAGGCAGGTGGATCTCTGTGAGTTAGAGGCCAGCCTGGTCTACAGAGTGAGTTCCAGGACAGCCAAGGTTAAACAGAGAAAAAAAAAAGAGAGAAGGAGAGAGAAAGAAAAAGAATTGAGTATAACTACATAAAGCAGTGATAGGAGGAGGGTGCACTGTGGGGAAACGGGACTTTTAGCTTTCGGGACAATTATCCCCTTCATGTTCAGAAAGAAAGTGTATGGGTGAATCAGATACCAAAGACACTCAAGCAACTTTAAACTCCTGCTAATGGGACAAGCATAAGTTGGATGTGTGGCTGGGAACTATAAACCCAGTACTGAGGTAACAGAGGCAGGAAGATTTCCTCAAGTTCAAGGCCAGCCTGGGCTACACAGTGAGCAGTAGGCCAGGTTAGGTCAACTTGGGCTGTAGTGAGACCCGCCTAAGAAACTTGAAAAAGTGGGGAGGAACAAGGCAAATAAAGCAGCCCAGTGTCACCCAAGTCATCAAGTAGTCTAGTTGGCAAGAGAAACAAGGCTGGAGAGTCAATTGGTTAGACCTTACTCTGTGGGTCAAAGGAAAACACGGTCAATTTGTTTGTTTGTTTGTTTGTTTGTTTTTCCAAGACAGAGTTTCTCTGTGTAACCCTGGCTGTCCTGGAATGTGCTCTGTAGACCAGACTGTCCTCAAACTCAGAGATCTACCTGCCTCTGGCCCAAGTGCTGGGATTAAAGGCGTGTGGCAAATATTTTTTAATGAAAATTTATGGCCAGAGAGAGAGAGATGGCTCAGGGACAACAGACCTGCCACAAGTATGGTGACCTGTGTTGATGTCTGGACTCCCATCAAGGTAGAAGGGCAAAACCGACCCCCAGCTGCCCTTTTACCGCTGTAGATACAATGTACTCTTAC